TGATAAAACTTCTCAGTTGAATTTTGTCACATGTATTTTTGATATCTCAGGATTTTATTTAATTTGTTTAAAACTTTCTGAAAAGCTAGACTACTTAATTAGTGAAGTGTTTAAACAGTAGTTTTGAAATAACTTCAATAATAATTGTAAATAGTTGGTGCTAACCAGTGTCGTATTACTACAGTCATTGCAAGTACAAGTATTTGTAAACAATTTTCTACGTAAGATGCCGAATTTGTATTGGCCGGATACCATCAACAACAGCCTACAATGAGAGAGAACAAACCAGCCTTCAGCTGAAAAGGAAATTAGGAAAAGACAATGTAGATGGATAGGACATTTATTGTGGAACTCACCAAACTGCATCACGACTGCAAGCGCTAACTTGGAATAGTGAAGGGAAACAGAAGAGAGGAAGGCCAAATAACACACTGGGTCGAGAATTGGATGCAGACATGAAAAGAATGAATAGCAACTGGAAAGGATTGCTCAGGATAGAGTTGCATGGAAGATGCGAGTGGGTGGCTTAGGCTCCTGGACGAGGGGTAACAGGCGTAAGTAAGTAGGTTATCTTACTAAAGGTTGTTTTCGTTGAGAAATCTTATTTAACTAGTAGTGTCGCAATTTATTTATCTCAATATACCATATAATTTTACAAAATTTAATACGTCGAATCCCAACTGATTGATCATATATTCTAATTATTAAATTATTATACGAATTTTATTCATATTAGAGGTCAACCTGCATATGATTTTCAAATCATTCCTATATTCCTGGTTTTTGGGAATATATCCAAAAAAGTCACTTTAGTAAATATCATACATTTTTCTTGGTGAAAACAATTGTATCATAGAAAAATAATTCAATGTGGATAAAATGGCAAGCAATTATTTTAAGTGAATCTGGTCACACATAGTAAAGTAAATGGCCTGGTTATTCATTTTAACCAGCGAAAAATATACAGTTTACAATTATATGCTATATGTGTAAGTACTTTAAAATTTGGCTCTGAAGAAAACGCTTTAAATCATTTTCCTCTTTACAAAACATCATGTATTTAAATTGAAAAGTTTCGGTGTATAATTAAAAAAACATAAATCTTTTGGATTTTCAAATTGCTCGGGTTCCAAGAGTAAATTGTTAAAAGAGACTATCTTTGGACCCAAATGATATTTAGTTAAAGAAGCGAATTAGTCAATTGGTTGTGGTATTTCTCCACGTTTCAGCTTCGTACAGTAGAACTGTTTTGACGTTCGTAGTGAAGACTGTGATTTTGATATTGATCAACAGTTTTTTCAAGTTCCATATGCTCTTCAACAGTAGGAATGCTGCTATTGCTTTGCCAATCCTTACCTTTACGTCTACATTAAATTCTCCTTGTTCACCAATGATGCTACCCAGGGATGTGAAAGTTTCCATCTCTTACAGAGTGTCTTCATCATGTGTGATTGGGTTGTTTTCCTCCGTGTTGTATTTGAGGATCTTACTTTATCCATTGTGTATGTTGAGGCCTACTGCTGCAGAGGCTGCTGCTACATTGTTTGTCTCAACCTGGAATTGTTGGTGTGTATATGATAGAAGAGCTAGTTCATCTGCGAAGTCCGAACTGTCTAGATAGTGTTTGGAAAAAGAAAGTTTTTTTATTGTGATAACTACGAACGCATTTATCGATTGCGTATAATGCGAAAATTTTAATTCGTTTCTGATTTGGATCACGAGCAGCGTTATCATCGATAAAAGCTTGAATAAATTCTTCATAAAATGTTTTTTGTATGGATAAGTTAATCGTAAGTATTAAACAAATAGTGGATTCTACAACAGTAAAATTATTTTGTACGAACTTGAATCTCGTTAAGATGATCAAACTTGGACGATAGTTTGTTAAATTCACGAACGAAGATCGAATTCACTGTAGTAGTAGGAAACTGAATGTTCAATTTTCTTTACAAGGAGCATTATATTATTTGATATACAGGTATTTCAATAATGACTAGTAGTTTGAGCTTAATGTGCAACCATTACAAAACCTAAATTTCTAATTATAACTATTGATTTCAATATACAAGTAACTCAGATGATTAATCAGTCATTTTTATAACGTTTACTCTTTATTATCTTCTGTAATGAAAGATACTACATAACTAAGTGGTTTTATGTAACACGATTTGTAAATATTAACAGCTAATCCAGAGATCATGTTTACTTTTACTATAAATTAGTTCAGAGACTATCCTTATATACCAGCCCATGTACTTTGTCTTTGAAAACTAACAGTGAGTGTAAATCCTAAACATTTTTCTGACGCTAACAATATAGGCTCCATTTGTTTTTAATTTTCGATACTACTGCCACTGTTGTTGTTACTTAATCTAATTTACCATCTTACATAAACACGTATACAAATACAAACCCCGATAATTGAAAGAATAGATTAATTGACTGTATATCATCCATACCAAGCTATCATTTAAGGCTGTCAAAAGAAATATTACAAAAACTCCACTGTTCATCTTAGTTTTAATAACTTAGTCTTTGATCCCTCACTTGAACTGGAATTGAATGATTTCTCCAATAAATTCATTCAAAATATTTGAAAAATCATTCTGTTTCTCCTACTTTCTCTCTGAATGAAGGCAACACATGATTTATGTAACGTTTAAAGAAAAAAATCAATGACGTTCGCCTACACTTATTGTTAAGCATGAGATATAAAGCATATCTGTAAACGCATTACTTATTCAAACAATCCGAAAACACAAGTAATGAAGTTTTTTTACTTCAGTTTGTATTATATGTAAAATAATACTGTTCATAATACGAAATAACATTTTTTGTCAAATTAATTTCTTTTGAAACAGGATCACTAGTTGCTTTATCCTATGACTGAAGGTGATTCTTAAAATCCTACTGTAACTAGAATTTTTTCTCAACTTTTATAAAAATAAAACTCATTATAATTTGTTTTTGATCATTATCCGTAGATGAAAAAAACACTAGATCTGCAACCTTTCATACTTAGTTTTTAAAGACTAAATAGGGAGATTACATATATATGTTGGAGTTGAGATATTTTTGATGCGTATGCAGTCGTTCCTGTCATCACAATTAATAACAGCAAACTTCATAAAAGTCTCTTAACAAAGAAGTACGCTAAATATGTAAAATTTTGATGATTTTCTGATTTCATATACCTCAAATTTTCATAGAAGGTCAGGCAATGTTTAAAGAATCCTCACATAAACAATTGCCTGATATAATAACAAGTTTTATTATTATTACATAGAGTAAATGAGTGTTACGCAAAGGATAGATCCTTATTATATAACATTCGGGAAAATGATGTGTTCAAAAAGAAACGAACTATTATACATAATTCCATTCAATTTACAAACTATAATGATTCGAAGTTTAGTCGAAAAAACATATGATTAACACTCTGTCGTCCTTTGATTCTTTCAGCTATTCTTAGTTTATAATTTTATCTATCTTTTTTTAAACAAATTCGTAATTCAGAGTTATTTTATTTCCACATGTTATATATAATTGACTTCATTGATGCGTTTAAGCCACATAAACAAAAGAAAATTTACTTAGTCTAATATCAGAAATTGGTAACAGATATTTTGACGAATGAGTTTTTGAAAAGATTAATTTCATCATCATTTACTCTGTCCCGCATACGGGTTCGTGGAACTTCAGTCAATAATTTCTTAATCATATCCAGTGAATACCCTCCATACACTTCTATCTGAAGTTTGTGCTGATAATGTCGTTCAGAAGAACGATGAAAACTCCACGACCAAACCATCCAGATCAGAGAACAAAACTCCATCAAAACCCTCCATACATCCGCATAGTTTCACAAAGGAAACTTCAGTTAGACTGCTAATTTATATATATATATGGCTTTAATCAATGTAATCGGTGGAACTAAGATTTGTCCAAACACAATTTAATGAGGCAATTTCTATATAGTCTTCTTATTACACCATCGAAATTTATCAAAAGGGGCCAATTGATTAAAATTACTTAAAAGAAAACTCCCTGCAAATACTAATAAAAAGTTAAATGAATTTGTCAATCATAAATGCAAAATTGTATCGGAACGCGTGAAACTGAACTTTTATAAATCTTGTTTATCGAGTCACATATTCCCAAATCAATTATATAAGAATTTACATTCAAGTAAATTACAACCGAATATTTCAAATCTCATTCTTCAACTGTCGAGATCTTATATAAATAATTTCCATGATAAATTGATCAATTTACTTGAATTGCACACTTAAGCATTGCCTATATGACAAGACTGTTTACTCTTTCACATACTGAACATTATCGGATATCTGTGTGACGGCATACTTTATGAATTGATTGATTCCATCAAAATTTTCGGCATACAGGATACAAACTGTGAAATATGTCATGATTCAGGGTGAATATATCGTTGTATTATATCAAATAAAAACTACTTTGATGAACATTCCACTGTCTAGGTAAATTCAAAAATTAAGAATATATTATTTACTATTATATTCTTACTCATTTCATCTTACTGCATTATGGTTTCTTATTTGATAAAGCGCTGATTTACTCTGAAACCAGATTTATCAGGGCAATAAATTGTCTAATATACCCTTCATATGCATGCAGATCATGAACATGTTAATCCACATTCAAATTTTGATTAGTTAATTTTTTTTTTAATTATTATTTATTAATCCCACATTAACTGCATTTATTCGAGGGAATAGTTACAGTGTATAAATTTACACACATATATATTAACATTAATGTATTGACATAAGTATGTCTATTTCTGTAGTTAATCGAATCAGAATTAAGCATATTGTATAGCAAATATAGTTACAGGTAGATAGTATTTTTCAAGGTTTAATAAATAAATGAAAATTTTCACTTGTCTTTTTACTGATTGGCTAATAATGTTAAGTAAAATCTTCTTTGTGTATATAAAAGCTTTATCGAAGGTAAATGTTGTTGTATTCACGTTTCTTTTTCTGACTTGTATTGTCCTGTTATTTGGTAATAATGTTATAATTAATAATTAGAGAACATAATCTACACTTCATCAAGTGGAATAGCGTCATGTTTGTAAAACTACTTCAGTTATATAAGTATTTGACTGTAACGTTTTCAAAATGTCTGTGAAACCGAACGATTTGGATTAGAAAAGTGTAAGACAATTCTGATATGTGCTTTTAAAAGTTACTAGTTACATTGACCAAATTACATGGTGCTCATATAAATATTACATATTACTGATCAATAAAAATATGACATGATGATGATGATATTAGAACATGTCAACAGATCCAAACTTATATAATGTGAATTTAGCATCTAAACGAACAACAATGCCTTCAACACCTTGCTTTTTTGGTGAAACTTGTCAAAATTTTCATCAACAAACTAGTGACAGTGGAAATGACAATAAAACTAATGATAAGGAAAATTATGGCCACAACAAAAATGAATCAGAAATGATTGAATCGAGCGAAATGGATTTAATTTACACTCAAACAGATAATGATAATCTCACACCATCTATAATACTTACCTCTGATGATACTGATTGGAAACCATGTGAACAAGGTAGTATTTCGAGTATGGAATCTATATCTAATTCACCAAGTCCTAGGACTTCCTATAATTCCTTACTACATTGGGGTATTAATAATGCACAAGATGAAAGAGGTAAGTATGATTCTAATCAATTATATGATATATACGAAAATTCGTCAACATTAGAACGAATAGTTTGACAATAATATGATTGTTAGCTGTGTATTATTAAGACAGGGATTTCTTCTAGTTTCATATTCTGGCTGATAAGATGTTGAGATCCACTGGAAATCAGTTAACACTAGTTGGCTATTTTATTCAAATGTATAACTACTCTATAGTGTTTCTCTATGAACCCCCATGGGATCAAACTTAGAACGTTTATCTTGTACGCGATGAACGCATCGTATTTGTTTTAAGTTGAAACTAAATGATTTCTTCAAATTTTAATACGGGTAAACCCTAATTACAATCTTAAATTCATAGTACTAACTTTCATCTGTACTGTCCATGTAACACAGAAGATCTTATGAGTAGCTTAGATTTTAAATATTTGCCATCAATGTTCATGATTTTTGTATACTGTTGTATTACTAGGAACTATATATATAGGTATGTGGCTTTGAGTTCCCAATAAATAATCATCAGTTAGTTGAACCTTCCTATTGCATAGAAATAGATAAAAAGATATTGCCATCATTCTTGTTGGATTTTTTGAGTTACTGTCAATCTCAGAAGCTGTCAAATTTTCGCTCTTTATTTTAGTGGTGGAGTTTTAAAATTCTACTTTCGATGTTTAGTTCGGAAATGAAAGGTAAATTCTTATGATTTAGGTCAAGGTTACATGTCAAAAAATCCTACTGATCAGTGGTGGTTTGTTCACACTAGTATCATGTCAAAAATCATATGTATGGATATTTTTCTCTTGTTATATTTCTTAATCTGATGTGGTTGGTTAATGCACACACCATCATGCATGAAATGCAACTATTTATCATCTCTACTAGTGAAGAAGAAAGAAAAACGGTACATCTTGTCTGATTTGCACTGCAAATTGTATTTACCCTCGAGGACAAAAACGTGTGTAAACACATTTGTGATTAAGTGAGTAAACAAATATTAAGCAACACAAGAATTAGGACGTACTCATCTCCTGAAATAGCCAATCCTACTGCACCTGAATTTAATTAGATTTTCGTTTTCCAGGTTATTACTATTAAGTAATGGTTATTATGGTTTTATACATGAATTTATTCAACAAGTAGTGACTACTGGGACTCAGTAGATTAGTTTATTGCGCCCCACCATTTGGAGTGATCTTACAAGGGCTATAGTCTCATTGCGAACATACATACACTAGGATCCGCGAACATCTAAGTTATATATCCTAGGTAAGATGAATTGGTGTTCTTGCGTTTTGATGCTAGTTGTTCCTTGTTTCACTTTCGACAGTTGGCAATGGAAATAAATTGTTGGGAAAAATGGTGCCAACCAATTTTTTTTAACTGTTATTGTTGTTGCCGAATTCCTGAAACTAATAATCTACTATACATTATGGTTTCCAATTAAAAATGTTGAAATAATTGAAGTGAAAGATTCAATCTTAATATCGATGAAATCAATAGCCCAAATTATTAGCTACATATACACCCGAATAATTAATTCTTCTGTTATATTTTACTTTTTACATTAAGTTTAACATGACTTGATGTAACTGATTTTACTGGTATATACAAACTAAAGTTGTTAAAACTAGGTCTTGGCAACATTTTAACACTCTGTCCAAACGTTTTAGATTTCCGTAGCCTTAACAGTATGTTTTCACTTCAATAATTAATGCTATTAATCCTCAATAAACATTAACCACATTATTCATGAGACTTTTAGTTCTTCTTGATGACTCATATATCTAACGTGTGAATCATGTTTTTCTGTTCATTTCTTTTAATATTCTAACTCTTCTTTTAATGATTTTTACTAAGGTCATCAACTAATTTAATATTAATTCTTCGTTTATTGGCTCGATTGAACATTTAATCATTTGTATGTTTTCCAAGGTCATAGGAGAAAATATCTGGTATTTTAAATGAAGAAATAAAAAAAAATCAATTAGCATGGTCGAATTGGCCTTGACAGTAGATGTAAATATTGACTTAATACATAGTGGGTATTATAACTACAATTTAGATTGTTTACAAACAAAATCAGTAACAATAAAGGATAACAATTTCACTTAGTGAAAATTTATTCAGAACATAATGGATATGATATTTTCATTATTGAATTCTTGGGTTGATTTGCTTATTGTTTATGTTAATAATCATTAAATAGTAGATTCATCAGTTGTTTATTTGTCCAAGTCTATTGATTTACTATGAAAATAATATTGAACTATAACTAATTCTCATACGTGTAATTAATCTTATTTGTATTACGTAATAGGCTATAAATGATAGGATATTTATTTGGCCTGGTTAACTAATTATGTATACATACATATATATATTAACTTTTTGTATGCCTTTTTACGTAAGTTATATGTGTGGATTTCATTCTCTTACTTCTATATCAAATGTGTGGACGTAAATCAATAGTGTGTCTTATCAACTACATAGTTATGTGAATATACAATGTGATTATGCAATATCGTTGTAATGATTCAATTTTTAATACAAGAACCATTAGAGAACGCGAATACTGTTTTAAGAATCATAAAATAACCAGGACTATAATAATGATCTTTATTAGTTTAGCCAATAAAATAAATTTTATGTAGTATTCGTCAGAGATTTATCTCATTTAGACTACTAGTAAAAATCAGGAAAAACTAGACAGTTGTTTCAGTTTAGTATGGGACCCCGACTTGGCTAGAAATAAGACTTGAAACCTTCAGGTTTCTGGACGAATGCCAAACTATTAAATCCATTACTCTGGCGTCCAATAATGCAATCGCGAATTCAGTTGATGATCATCCGTTTCTACTAATTTCACTGCCAACATTTCTGAACTTTACCACTAATGAATTCTCTTTTTGATAAATGATGAGAATTTACGAAAATTTCATGTGCTTCTTTTCTTCTTTCAAACTGTGTTGTGTTAGTAAACTCATATACATCAAACATTTTCTCATTTTGATTATCACGAACGCTATTCGTACATTGATTTCTCACTAGGGGAACTACGTAAATAAAACTGACAATTTAAACATTTAAGTTGTGTATGTTTTGCTGTGTGATACGCAAACCTGTGAGCAATTAGATTCTTTATTATTACTTTTTGATACACTGGCTTTAACACATACTTGTGAATACATTGGAGGTAACAACATACTGAGCGATAAAGGAAGCTATTTGGTAGAGAGAGATGACCTTCACAGTTTGATTAATCTCAGACATTTCATTACTAGTACTTTTATGATTATCCTCAATATGTGACCATGTTTGAAGCCTAGTTTTCGGAAATGTCACTTCATATTCACAGCACTTTAATACACATTTTAACTTAAATATATCTCGGTGAACATTATCGCTTGTGTTAAGTTTGTTCAATAATGTTTAGTTTGAATTTCAGAACGGCTGGATTTTGTCAAAAATTTGTAAAACTATTCCTGTAACTTACTGAAAATGTATTTATCTTAAAATGCTATTGAAACTTATTCTTTCTATTTCAATCAGGGCATTGTATAGTTCATTTTATTTTTTATCATCGATTTTTTTCCTATAATATGTGTTGTAAATCTACCGTGTTCGTGTTGTCCCTTAGTGTAAACAGTTGAAAATGAATCATGTGCAATCGATACAAATCTGATGAAACCAGATTTGTTTAGTTTATTATGGTTTGATATAATATGCATTATTCTTTCCCCTCGATAGTCTTTTTGATTTACTATTAACTATAAATTTAACTTACCTATTATGATTCAATTTCCTTGAATGAAATTTGTGCCTGCAAATTACCAATAAATAAACATTGACTGATGCTTACTGACGCCTGTTACAGTGGAGCATAGGTCGCCGACCAGCATTCTCCAACCCACTCTATCCTAGGCCTTCCTCTCTAATTCTATCCAATCGTTGATCATTTTTCTCATGTCTGTCTCCATTTCTCAGCGTATTGTGTTCTTTGGTGTTCCTCTCCTCCTTTGACCTTGAGGATTCCATGTGAGGGCTTGCGTTGTGACTCAGTTGGGTGCTTTCCTCAATGTGTGTTCTATCCACTTCCAGCGCTTATTCCTGATTTCTCCCTCCACTGGGATCTGGTTTGTTCTCTCCCACGGTAGGTTGCTGCTGATAGTGATAGAGGTAGTTTGCATAGACAACTGTTAATAAACACTTGTATCTTCTGGATGATGGCTTTCGTAGTTCTTCAGGTTTCCTCCATATACAGTAAAACTGTCTTAACATTTGTGTTGAAAATTCTGATCTCGGTGTTGATTGACAGTTGTTTTGAGTTCCAGTTGTAAATATGCTGCTCTTGCTTTGCCAATTCACGCCTTCACATCTGCATCAGATCCACCGTGTTCATGCATGATGCTGCACAGATATGTAGAGGTTTTTACATCGTTCAAAGCTTCTCCGTTATGTGTGATTCGATTGGTGCATGTTGTGTTGTATCGGAGAATCTTGCTTTTCCGTTTGTGTATGTTGAGACATACTGCTGCTACACTGGTCGTTTTCTCCTCCATTTGTTGGTATTCGTGCGCCAGAAGAGCCAGGTTATCTGCGAAGTCTAGATCGTCCGCCTGGAGTCCCTCTTGTGCTACTGCCGGTCCCAAGCCCGTATAAAGGAGGCGGGTTAGCTATAGGGTTAGTGACCACATCCCATATAAAACTAAATCGCTATAAACCCATTTAACTTATGCAAAGTTTAAATTATTAAACAATTTTAAATATATATAATACAAAATAAAAGCGACAAACCTGATAATACATACTTTATTTGTATCAGAAGGGGTTTTGTGGAGATTTTAGAAAATTCAGTTGTTGAGATCATAAATCAATTGAAGCTAGACCACCATAGAAAACCTGAAAGCATCGGATGACCGTTTCGTCCTATTATGGGACTCCTCAGCAGTGCTCGTCAACGACCCCACCTCGTGAGATTCGAACCCACGACCTACTGGTCTCGCGCAC